CTGTATATGAATTTTTAAGTGGTAATATGTGTGGTAACTACAATACATATTACTTAGTCCCAAGCATTGTCTATTATATTGGCTTGCCTGGAAAGTAGCACAATAAATTAATAAATGTTATGCTTTACACAGTGTTGCTAAGAAGAATTTTGGTAATATACTGCCATTTGTAGATGGGGGAGAGTTAAATAAAGCCCAAAAGCAGTGGTATTAAAATAAAATGCTCAGCTGTTATTGTAGAACAATATGTAAGTTAATCCTCTTTGTGAGTCCTCAGGTCTTTGGGGTGCTTACTCCAGGAATAACTTGTAACAAATTAAGCAAAACAGAGGTTTTTGGGCTATGCAAGACCTTTTCAGGAAATGTGAGCTGTTACGTGGTACAGCAGCTCCAAGCCTTGCTGGCAGACCAACTTCTTTATGGTACATGCCTTGCTATATCAGAGCTGTAAAAACAGACATCATTTAAGCTTAGAAATTATATATTTGATATAAAATTATATATTAAATATTTATTTAGAACTCATCATACCTGGAAGATGAAGCATTGTAGGTGCACGCATTCCACTGAATAGTGGAATAAGAAGTTGAAGAAGATGTAGGAAGGAGAAAATAAAAAACTGATTATGAACTACAGTAAGTTCAGAGATGTTGGAGAAGAAGCTGAAGGGTCTTAGAATAAAAAGGAAGGTAGATTAAAAGTTGTAAAGGAGTTTGCAGGTAAAAATGAAGCCAGGAGAAAGGCTGAGTGAAGACAGGAGCTTCTGCAGAAATCCCGAGTAATGGAAGAGTGGACAGAATATATGGGAATATGGGAAATGCAGGAAGCTTTCAGTCTTTAAAATGGGAACTTACTTGGGAGAAGTGTTAACATCCCCTAATCCATCCAGGTTGTTGTGGACTCCTTACAGTCCTGGGGAAGAGCAGATTATTTGGTTCCATTTGCGGGCAGGCCTCTGTGGGAGCTGTGCAGTGAGGAATGCAGGAGGGCTCTCAGCAGGCTTGGAGCAGCAATAGGAGCTGCACATTTGAATGCAATGGTTTCAGTGCTATGGCTGGGCTGTTACAGAAATCCAGGATTATGAATATACCTGCCAGGGAAAGATACTTGTAATGAATTTTCTCACAGGTAACAAAATGGAGATAAAACACCTGACAGTATCCTAACACTTCATATAAGTAGGTGGCCTGGGGTGAGGTTATGATGCTGGTATCCCCAGTCGTGTGTTCTGTTAGTGCTGGATGTTATGTTCTGTGCCTTCAAGACTGGCTCTGAGAGCAAGGTTTGTTTTGGTTTGTTATCAGCCTGCTCCCCCACGGCTGGGGGACAGAGAGACGGGACAGTGCGTAGTGCGGCTTTTGCTTTTGGCTTGGCTTTTTGCCGCTTTGCTTTGCTCCCGCTCTGCTTTTGCTTTTTGCTTCTGTTAGTTTAGCTAAGCGGCCCAGATTTTTCCCTGGACTGTTTTTCTTCCCTTTTAGGAACCATCCAAACCTGCTCCGGACTGGGACCTGGGAAACACCGAGAGTTTACATCTTGTGGCTGCAGCAGCCATCCCCAGCGCCGGAGGGAGCAACAACAGAGCCACCACTCCCAGGAAAGACTTTCTGAATTTGTCATCCTTTTCAGATCGGTGAAAGTGTTGTCATCTGGTATTGTTCATTTTGTGTGCTGGGGGTATTGTGCTTGTTAAATAAACAGGTTCTTTCCACTTCTCTCCAAGGAATCCTTCCTGAACCAGTGGGGGAAAGAGGCTGTGTGGGTTTGCTTTCTGGGGGGGCCCCTTTGGAGGTTTCTCTCCCAGATTTGCCTTAATCCAGGACAGTAGGCTGAAAAAAGAATGTGCATTTCAATGCTCTGGGGGCAGTTGTTTCTTTGTTTCCCGTGAAAGCCCTTGTGCAAGAGTAAAAGCTGAAAAGCAGAACTGTCTCGGAGCGTTTGCGGCCGAAGGAGCAGCCAGAAGAGGAAAGGATGCTTGTGTCCTGCACTGAGCATGGAAAGCTGTGTTATTTCCATTACTACCAACAGCAAGCTTGTGTGGTGAAAATTCCTGAAGCCAAAATGAGGTGTGGGGTCTGAGAACTTCTCTGCAAGACACAGAGCTGTGCTACATATGCAGGAAGAGCTTTTGTAATTCCAGTCTCAGAGGGGAAGAGAGATGTGTACAAGTGATGTATATTGATGGCACTGCCAGCAGCAAAACTTAGCAGGCAGCAGGTTTTGTGGAGAGTATTTGGAGTAAGATTGGAAGAACAATCTACTGAGAAACAGAAACTTTGACTGTGTTTTAAAAACAAGCACTAACAGCTGCTGCAAGCCTAAAGCCTTTAACTGTGTTTTTCTGAAAACTGAAAACTCCCCAAACCATGCAGTGTCTGAAATGACTTCCAAGTAAGCAGATACCTCTCACTTACAAATTGCCTTCAGGGCTTTGGGCAACGTTGCTGCAGAGCTTTTGGGTGCATGGTACAATGCAGGCTTGTACCAACCTCTGTGACATGCTAATCCCGTGCTAAAAAATGAATGGGTGTGAGACTGCAGCATGTTTAGGATTTCTCTTGAGTGACTAATGTGCATCGGTGAAAGGCATGGATGGCATTAGCTCAGAAACTGCTCAAGGAAATCCCCAATACCTTTTGCAATATAATAACCTGAAATTCTGTCTTAATGCTAACATACTGAGTTAAGATTTACTAGCAGGGTCCTGACAAAAGGCCCTGATATTTATATGGAGTACAAAGTGGTGCTTTTAACCATTCATTGCTCCTGAAAATCATTTCCATGTGTTTCTCATGTTAGTTCCGTTCTGAGATGTGCTGCTCAGTGGCAGTGGATTATGTTCTGATTTATTCCTTTGCAGGTGAAATACACCTTCAAACTCACCAGAAATGCTGTGGTCGAACCAAAAACTCAACTTGGCTCTTTTAAATTTGTTCCAAGGCCTTTGAAGACTGCGTTCTGCCATCATAGCAAATCTTCCTTTTTGCAAATCTTGTTGTCTAACTTTAGCTGAGTAAGACAGTATTTATTATGCATTTGAAATGAGCAAGGAAGGGGTTTTGAAGGAAATGCCATGTGTATTACAGAGTTTATGTTTCTAATTGTGGAGACAGTAGCTTATCAAATATTGTGTATTTCTGGTTTGGTTGAGACCAGCTGCAGATGGGACACCATCAAATATATTGTTTGAACAGGCTATAAAAACAGCCTTGCTAAATCTGAGTAGTGTGATGATTCCAGTGAGCTTGCTGAAATGAGTTATTTTTGGCAGGAAAGAAAGAAGATAGGATTTGGGATGTGCACTGAGAACCTAATTTTCTCTTCATTTAGGGAACAGGAAATGAGAAGCAGCACTACAGCTGAAGGTAAAGCTAGCATAAAACAATGAGAATGAAAAACTAAGATAAAACTGACCACTTCAGTGGAAGAAGTCAGGCTGAGAGCTGTCTCTGGCTGGCCTGGTAGAGAAGACATGATGGGAAAGTTTGGGGTTATTTGGGTTGGACTGATGTCTGATAAAGGCAGCCAGTGAGGTTCTTGAGAAGGAAGGGGGGAGTTTTGTTTAACTCTTACATATATTTCCTATATAACACTCTGTGCTTTCTGAGGTGCCTTTTTGGAGTCTTTTTCCAGATAACATTTTTGGTCCTGTCACCTTGTGTTTGGAAGCCATGTGTGAAATCCTGATGGTAATGAAATGCCTCTAGTTAATTTGAAAAACGATGATAATAAAGTTTATAGATTTCCACTATTCTCTGCCATTGAATGTTCTTAAACGAAGCCATTAGTAAGGATGACAGAGCTGGGATTCTGTGCTCTGCCCAGTGTTTTCATGGCTAGCTCACCACTGCAACTGAATTTGTAAATTGTAAATCAGGACAACTGAAGTTATGAAATTAACTTTGAAGTAGAGCAAAAGGCTGAAGAGCACAGGGTTTGAAAATAGATCTTGATGAATTTAAGGAAGGAGCTATATGATTCCCTAGGAGGTTCTTGAATATTTAAATGGATTAGGAAGAGTTGTTAAACTTTTGGTTTTAATCAATTATCTTAGTAGAGGATTGTCACCAATTACCTGAAGGATTGAATAATAATTTTTTTTCCTGTCTTTCCACTATACATTCTTTTTTTTTTTTTTTTTCATCATTACATTTGTTGGGTTTGTTTGTTTGTTTCTTTGCTAGGAACTAAAGATGGGAGTCTGAACATGCCATACTGTTATTCCTATGGGAAATCTTAACGGTCCTGTTTATGTTTTCCACCCATGCTTGGCAATGCCACCTGCAGTTGGCAGATTTGGGGGGAGTAAGGAATTGTCTCCTCTCTCCCACCCTCTCATCCTTGTTTACACTGGCAGAGGCTGTTGGGATCTTAATTTTTCCGTGCTCTTCTGTTTTATGGAGTAAAGTTCAGTTCCTGGACTTAGTTCAACTTCTTGCCTGTGGCTGCCTGGCTGTGTGAGACCTACAGTGCTGCTAAATGTATTTGTTCTTTATTTCTGTGGGATGTCTGAAGGCGTTTTTATCTTTTGTGTTGAAGATATACATTACAGGCTATGAGTGTATTTCAGTTGCTGCGTGTGTATGTGTGGATAGAATGGGTGTTGTTCTCCAGTTTAACAAATACTACATAGTTTAGCACTCCAGGGTGATCAAGGTAGTCCCCTCCCATCATTACACTCCTACTCTGCTAGGAAATGTCTGCTACAATCACACAAGCAGCAAAATCAACGTTATGCTTTAACCCTGAATGTATTTAAAGTCTTGCTTTGAAAACTCGATCATTTTAGACTGTTTCTTTGCTATGTAGCACTCTAGGCTGTACACTATCAATCTAGTTCCTAGGACTGCACCAGGAATAGAATCAAACTGTTTCAAGTCCCAGTTCTCACTGAAGGATCTAGAGTTTTCATGGGGGAAAAAGAAAGAGGATCTGTGATCTTAGAACCATTGGCCAAAAGGTGTTGAAAATCTAATAATTCTAACACTTTTATTTTTCAACAGGATCAGAGCCCAGCTTTTCAAATACTTTTCCATGTGACTTAGAAAGCAAATATTAATATGCAAATTCAAGGCTTTGAGCTACTTGAATATTCATTACTTCTGAAATCTGCTTCTATTGAGATGCTTAAACATTAAGGACATTAAGTGAACATTACATAAATGGTAAGAATGGCTCATTAATTAAAGCAGAGTTTGTGTGACTGTTGATGAATGGCTTGAAGTCCTATTAATTTGTTAATGGTCTGTGTCAGTACAGAGTTAATTTTTGAGGTGTGAAGTGGTACTTGAGTGTTGGATAGGAGATTGCAGAACACTGATAGGGCAATACCAGCTCTGCCAGTGTTGCTACCTTCAAGCATGGTGTAATTTAGGCAGATGGGGGAAAGCAATGGTTTTTTGTGCTCTCCATTCAGCAGTTCTATATCAGTTTCTGTACTTTGCATTCATTATCTTTATAAAAATCATAAATGGTATGGTGTGAGAAACTTCTGATGTGCAGCTGTGCCTGCTTGGGGAGCATGCTGAGACCATGAATGGGAGACACTAGCAGTGCCATGGAGCTCTGGACAGGACACAAAGCTGGATTTGTTCATGCATGACCTGAAATCCTAGTGCTGCTCTGGCTCCCTGCAGCCACCCTGTGAGACCTGGAGCCTGAGGAGAACCTGTGCTGCAGCAGCAGCAAAAATGTCTCCGTTCCAAAACTTAAGTCAGAGCAATTGCTGTTGGAAGGAGTGCCTGGAATGCGAGGATTAGCAAGCTCCTCTCTAAAGAGCTGTCAGATGTAGGGAGGGAGCTAAAAATGTGGCTGATGGCAGAGTGAGGAGGTGACTGCTGCCACTGGCGAGCAGGGAAGTGGCCCAGAGGGGCCATCTTAATGTGAAATAGATGTACACAGGGTACTTCTGAGCAGCAATGCATTTGGAAGAGAAAACTATTAAATCACAAATCCATTAGGTGAGTCAGATCCATTGGTGGGCACCAGCAGGGAATAAAGGAACTAGGGATACCCAGGACCTGAGGAACAGATGAGCAGCCACAAGGGCAGAGCCCACTGTACATGAAGCAGCTGCATAAACTAAAACCTGCACTGTCAGAAGTTTGGGATCAAATTACTGGATGCCGTGGGAGTGCACAGGTGTGGGGTGTGAGAGCACAGACAGCAGAAAATTTCTGCTGTATTCAGTGTGGAATGCCTGTTGAAGTGGTGGAAGGGCAAAGCAGCAGCAAAGCCCACCTGAGAGAGATCACAGGGAGACAGAAGTTGCTTCCTTCAGTGCCATCAGAAGACATGGATTATAGGCAGGAAAGAAGCAAATGTTTCTCAGCCAGTTCCCTGGCAAACCAGAGAAGTTGTTTTATTTCACTTACCAAAAAAACCCCCATACCTGAGAATGAATAGATTGTTACTTTAAACATGTTTGAACTGCATCACTGCAATTCATTTTGAATGTGCAGCTTGCAGCAATCTCTGTAGAGATGCAGGAAAGGATTCAATTCTTGAGCCTGTTTATTGCTTTTATCTGAGGTGTTCCATTAGAAAGAAATAGGATAGCGTAGAAATGCTTTTGCAATAAATGACTACATCAGGAGTATAAGGTAAAGCTGGGAGATAACATGAGGATTCAGAGCAGGAAGACTCAGAAAAATGCATAGCAGATGTGTAGTGCATACGTGATGGGACTCAGATGTTTTCCTTGCTTCCTATTTCAAACTAAATGAACTAAAAATCATACTCTGAATCAGGTAAGAACAAAGTGCTAATGCTGTGCAGCTGTCCTTGCCGAATGATGGCCTTTGTCTCACATAATTACGCTCACAGCTGTATGAAATAGAGCTGTGAGCTAAGGGGATGCTTTGGCCATAAACCCAAAAGCCATACTGAGGCCACGGGAATGTTGGGGGTGTCCTGTGTGAGCCTCCCTGTGCACTTCCCGGTCACTGGAAGGAAGCCAGCTAGATGCACATCACCTTTTGTGGGAAAATAAGAGCCTAACCTGTAAGGGTCACAGTGTAATGTAAAATATGCATGGATTTATCCTGGGGAGTCATTACCAACACACCTTAGTGCTGCTCTTTGCCTCAGTGTGTACATCAGCTCAAGTGGAAAATCAAATGACAGGTTAATGCTATGCCTCTGCAAAACCCCTCTGAGAGGAGCAGGCACTGTTGCCCATAAATATAAACCTTTTAAGAGGTTAACATGGGTGAAGGTGAAACAAATATTTCTGTGCTTAACAACAAACTGCTCTTCTCCCTGGAAGTCAATTGCAAGGCTTCTGTTGGCATTAATGGGGGCAGGCTTGGCCTGTAGAGGGGCTGCATAAAGAGCTCTTCAGTGTTTTGGTTAGGTACAGAAATAAAAATTAAAAATTTGAAAAAAAAAAAAATTAAAAACCCAAACCAACCAACCAACCAACAAACAAACAAAAAACAAAAAAAAATCACACCACAAAAACAAAACAAACCAACCAAAAATCCACCACCCCCCAAAAAAACCCAACAAAAACCCAACAACAAAATACCACAAATTACCTCCACACCGTTTCCAAAGCATGGTAATGACATCTGTATTAGACTCAAAAGGGAGCTGGGGAAGGGGTTGTTGATACTCTGTTTATTCCTGCAGGAGAAATCATTTAGTGGAGAGGGGTGAATTTTGATAGCTGGCCTTGGTGCGCTGTTACCATGGTGAGTTGCAAACAATTCCCCTCTGGATTCTGGTGGTTTTGAGCATTTGCTGAAGTCAAAATTGTTACTGAGTGAATTACTGAGTTCAGAATTCCTGGCTTATACTTCGTTGGTAGCAGAATTCTGGGACTAAAGTCTCAGTCTCTGAACGGTTGGCTCCTGATAAAGCAGTTTGAGGTGATGTCTTATGCTTAAATAAGCATCCTCTGGAAGGTGTGAAATGTACCAAATACAGGAAATGGAAAAGAGCCTCTGGCATTCCATGAGATTTTTGAGTAGTCCTGACTGTTTGCCAAGGCTCATTCAAAGTAAATTGCCAGGGTTACTTCCTAATAGTTCATGGGCAGTGACCCATATAAGAAAAACTTCTGCAACTTCACTTGCTTTATTTATCGAACAGAATTTTTGGAAAAGGGCCTGCTAGAAACAGATTATGCACATTGTATTTATATTTGCTGCCTTCTTGCTATCAGATAACTCTTTCAGGTGGGAGTGACTGACCAGATAAGGTTTGATCTTCTGTTGCTGGAGAGAGGAACCAGGAGGGCTGAGCTGGAGAGCATTAATCCACAAAGATGCAATTAAAGGTAGAAAACAGGAGTTGTCCATACAGGGAAGAGAAAAAAATGGAAGTAATGAAGTATAATGTTGATCTGTTCTAGGACTGGAATGAGGCTGACAGATGAAAATCCAATTTGGAAAACAGCTGGACACATTTCAGACTCTGGGTAAGGGCACAAACTTTAATCCCTGGGAGAAATATAACTTCCTTCACGAAGTTAGTCCTGAAGACAGCTGTCCAGACTGGCTGGACATCCAGTCTGTAAATGCAATGGAACTGCAAATAATGGTGAACTTCACAGAGCTGTTCAGTTTGGGTTTATTGTGGGGGGATCTTCTGCTGTCCTTACAGGTGCAAGAACAATTCATATGTCCTTCTGCTCCTTACACAGGATATTGTGTCACTTGGACTTGGAGAAGCACTGCATTTATGACAGATCTTTGGAAGGATGTGCTGTGCTCCTGTTGCCTGGTACTGTGGAAAAAATGAGTTCTGACTCAGATGTTTGTGTGGCACAGGTTGGAAATGAATTAATAACATGCTGCAGTAATTGGCTCTTTAGGGCTTGAAAGTGGGAAGAAAAGAGCAGGCTTTGGCTAAGTATGCTCTTGATATGGTGAGGAAGCAGATATGTAAGGGAAAGAATAGCTCCTTGCTGTATAGAACATTGTCTGGACACATAGCTCTTTAATTGTGTGTTCTACATGATTGTAGGCGAGGAAGTCCTGAATTCAGCTTTTCATTTCGTTACACAGTGGTGTTGGGCTTTTTCTTACCTTTTTCCTAGGCAAAAGGGCACATTTCTTTCATAGTAAAATATTTAGGATATTACAAATAACTTCTCAGCAATGCATAGTTTCTGCATGAAAATGGAATTATGTCAGTAATGAATGTTGACTTGGAATTACAGCCAGTATGGTAATGAAACATAGCCCCATTGGATTTAAGTAATTTGCAAATTGAGGTTGTTATCAGTTAATAGTGATACCCCTGGCTGATGTGAGAAAATGGTCGTGCTACTCAACTGAATAGGAAGTAGGGCTTGTAAACAGATACAAACTAGCATAAATGTTAAGTTATGGATTAATTCCATGCATACATTGCAGTAAATCCCCACTAGCAGACAGCTGTCAAGACTGCCTAGAAAACTTGACTACATTTGTTTTTCAATGTGATCATTCTCCTACTCTTCCTGTTCTACTTCTAGGAAAGCTCTAAGCAATTATTTTTGTGTGAATTCCAACAGTACATCAGTTTATCACAGTGCTTGTGTTAGTTATACATATTTTTAATTAACCACAAGTTATTCAGGTGCTAAACAGGTGCATCAGCTTCTAGGTCATTTTGACTGTCTTAACTAGAACCTTTCAAAAGAGTAGGCATAATAAATCATATTTGAAAGAAGATTCATCCAGGGTATCTCTGGAGTTTTTAGTAAATGTGTATTTTTACCTGAAGGATCTGCCAGGGAATCAAACTGCATCTCAGATCCCAGTGAACCCAGAGTGTTTCACCCCCTCTGTATAATTCTGATTGTGTGCTGCTCAACTTGAGGCCGATGTTTTGTTGCCACAGGCTTTACTCTGACACAAGATTTGACCAGGGACCTGTGTGACTACAGAGCATCTGGGCTGTTTCTTTACCTCCCTTAATTAAAATCAGATCTATTTGTTAGGAAACATTGTGGAAAGCCTAGAGGCCCCAAGAGGGAGCCTCCAATAGAGAAACCCACTGCAACCCTCTGGAAACTTCGATGCTCAGAACGGTGAAAATCTCTGCAGTTGTGACAAAGCAGAGTGTGAAAGAACAACAAAGTCACCCTGACTGGTCAGTAATTTGCAAGCAGATACAAATAAAACCTGAATTCTCTTATTGTGTCAACTGGGGTCCAGTGAAGCATTTCATTTTCCTGATAGAAATTGATCCTATAGAGTGATTAAATATACCGGTCAAATAGCTTCTCAAATAAGAAATAGTTAACTATTTTTTGTCTCTTTCAGTAGCTGTGAAAAGTTTAGAAAAGTTTTTTGGCTCTGTCTACATTTTCCCCGAAGAACAACATGCTATTAATGGTAAAAGGTTTGGTTGAATGAGAGTGCTACAATCTGTCTGAGGATATGGTATGGGTGACACAAAGGCTTCCTGCTGCTCTGCCAGTCTCTGTAACGCAGAAATGCTTACAGGAGTTTGCTACCCTCGACTTTTCACTGCCTCCCTGTTGGTGGACTCACTTAGGCCTCCAAGCAGAGTGTTGAAAATGCTGCTAAATCAGAACACCTCTTCCTGAGTGTCTTTAAGGTGTGACAATGGGCTGTAATCCTTTTATTCGGTAAGGATGAACCCTTGTAGAATTGCCCGTGAGTTACTGGGATGTGGTTTAACATTCTCTCTTCTTGTCTGAAGTCAGATATCTGGCACTGACTGGCTGAAAAGAGGACGTGGTGTTTCTTCAGTCACACACCTTTTCCCCTGGCACTGAACACTGTAGCCGGGAAGTGCAGGCAGAAGAAGAATTTGCTTATTGCCAGAGGAAGCTGCAAAGTGGAAAAGACTGAGCCAGGTGATTCACAGAGGGTTTGGTTTGGTTTGGTTTTGTTAGCTTGTTTCCCCTAAAGGCCTGTCATTGTCATCTGAGGGCACAGGGTGTCCCCTGTCCTGGGGGGCACCAGTTCTGCTTCAAACTATTTTTTCTCTCTGCATATGAATGTACATATTATTTAAATATTAACTGCATGCTCCATATTATAATAGTCAAGAATGACTGCTGCTAACCATTCATCTTATGCTTCCTTTCATATAGTATGAGAAAAACTTGCTAAAACTCTATTTGAAATTATTAACATGAGATTAGATGGCCAAGCAGTTCCTCCTTTTCTCTCATGCCTGAACTTCCCAACCTGACAGCAAGGCAGGTGGCCTAGAACTACTGTGATGAAGGAAGCTTGATCAGGGGCAGGAGGCCAGCTGGAGTAAAATTAGACAAAGAACCAGGGTTCAAGGATATCCTGAAATGAACAGCATAGTTTGCACTACCTGTTGGCAGCTATTTTAAAAGTTGTAAAGCATGGAGTCCACAATGTCCTAATTTTGCAGGGATAGGCTGTAAAGATCATAAATTCTGTGAAAGGGGTCAGACTCTAATTTACAGGTCTGATTCAAAACTTGCTGAGGTCAATGAAAACCTCTTCTATTAAGTATAGTACGGTTTGGATCATATGTTAAGGAAAAAAAGGTGTATTGAGAGAGTGCTAAGATTAAATGAGGGTAGTAAAAGTTTTCCCAGGATAAATGCACTTTTCATCTATCATTGAAACAGGCAAGAGCTGTTTATAAGACTGATAGATTCTCACAGTTCCATTTAAATTTATTTCAAAATACAAAATTATTTCAAAATATGTGAGCCTAATGAGTGAAGAGGGAGATCATTCCTTCCCTGCTGTTACACAGTAAATGGAAATGCACCTTTGCCTCAGGGATCCAGGTGAATAGTGGATTTGGGAAGATGTCTCCTGCCAGAATGTCCTTTTCAGTACAGAATGAACCAGAAATACTGTTGGAATTATTTAGCCCATTGAACACACGATCCTGGAGCTATCCTCTGGCTAAAAGCACAGGATTGCATTTTCTGCTGATGGAAATGAGAGCTGCTCCACTGGCACTTGGAGCCACATCGCCACGTTCTGTGAAGAACTTGGTCTGGTTTTCTCTCTGCTGCTGTTTGGTTGTAAAGGTCCCGCTCAGGGCTTGGGCTGTTTGTCACACAGAGCTACTGGTGACATGGCTGAGAGGAAAGGCACTGTACCAGTCCTTAATGCTGCTCTGCACCAGCTGCCTTGCAGCAGAGGTGTGGGCCCTAAATCAAGCACCAAGATCTTTTTAAAAAGAAGGAAAAAATAGTCAATTTTGAGTTGGTTTTTTTTTTTTTTTTTTTTTCAGCAAAATAGAAATTTCAATGCTCCTACAATCTTAGGCCAGGCCAGGCTTTGGTGAGGATAATGGGACATAAGTGCCTTTTGTCTTCTGTTAGGGAGGGTAGATTGTATAGCTGTCAAGTTGTGGCATGTCTGTAAGTGCTGAGTGAAATCTTTGCTGGGAGTGATAAAATCTGTGCCAAAGGAGAGGGAAGGATGCACATCCATCGAGGGAACCTGTTAGAATCCAGTTTAAATCAGTAGAGATGCCATATCTGCTGAGGATATGTGTGGACCTAATTGCACAGAACAACCGTGTCTTGGTTTGAAAAGACAGGTGTCTGCTAAGGAAGGCAGGAGCCTCCCCTGAAATGAAAAAATGTAACCCCCCTCCTTCCAAATTGTTATAAACTTGAAATTAAGGGGCTTTCAGGCAAAAATATGGGAGCAGGAATAACAGTTCTTTATTAGGGAAGAAAATAAAAAGATAAAATAAACAATGAAGTAAACTAAAACAACACTGACAGAGTCAGAACACACCTGACACCCTGTTGGTCAGGGTGCTGGTAGCAATCCAATTGGAATGGTGGCTGCAGTCCTCCTGGAGTGTCAGGTGTGGTTCTGCTGGAGCAGGGATCCTGGAGAAAAGGGTGTAGTCTTCCTCTGAAGATCCAGTGAAAGGGGCAGTTGTTCCTCTGGGAAATCCAGTGGAGAAGCTGTGCTGCTGTTCCAGAAACTCCAGATTATATCCAGGTAGGAATGCTTGGCTCTCCCCTCTGGGCAGAGCATCTCCCAGTGGGATCCTATAGGTCTTATCAGCCATGCAGGGAGATTCAATAGCCTGTTATCAGCAGGTGTCCCCCCGGAGGGAGCAGTGGTTATGCAAGAGATAAGGAAAGCTGCCCACTGAACAGAAGACAGCTGCCACACAGATGGCAAATAGAATTCAATTTGCTTGGTGATCCAGGGCAAACTGTAATTTCATTTTTTATAAAAACACCTTAATTTGCAGGATGTTTGTGGTCGAAGCGAGCAGCTTCTCACTCCCTCCAAAGGAGCAGCTTCTCCCTCCAAAGCCCATGTTCCTGAAAAAGCTCTCTGTTCTTTTTTAATGCTCAGATTCAAGCAGCCTGGCTTATTTGAGGCTCTCCCATGGTGTGCAGTAAGTTCCATCCAGCCTGTCCTGCAGAGGAAGCTGGAACCCCTTGCAGTCTGGCATTGCTGATGTACCTCAGAGTTTGTCATACAAGTGCCAAGATACTCTGAGCTGTGAGGATGTTCCCAGAGCTTTGTTTTTGTGGTTTATATCATGGGAAGCTATGGGAGGAAAATATCTCCATTTTCTGGCTGCCTGTCCATTATTTTTATTACAGGGAAAGGGAGTGTGATCTCAGCTCATGGGAGTGTTGCTGCCCCTGCTAGTGCATGTCGGGGCTGCAGAAGCCACAGAGATGCAACTGCAAATAGATAAGATTTAATAGAGCCTAATGAAGGACATTTTTGTCTGCTCAAATATACCTTAATGGACAATTTTAAGTATTTAAATGCACAAGTGGCAGCAGTAAATTTCATTCATCATTTTAAAGCAGGGATCTTTTCACTCCAGCTTCCTAAGCATAGACACAGTTTCAGGTAAAACTCAGTTTCATCTGGTAGGAATAAAAAGTAAATATACTATGCCTGGTCTCTGTCAAATGATTGGCTGTTCCTGAGCATGGAGTATTTGGAAATTGTTCCCAGTTGCTGGTTTTGTCACAGTGTCTTTGCTTGTTTGTGATTTGTATAATCAGAAAACAAACTGGAGAGGCGAGGGTAAACAAGTATTGTTTATCTCACACACTTTTACATCTACATTTCACATTTCTGTTACTTGGGTGATGAGATTTAGTCTCCATTTTTCTTTCTTTTGGAGTAGAATACATATCTGCAGAGGTGGAGGTTTTTCAAAAGCAGATCCATTGTAACCACAGGAAATCTATTAAAAAATACTTATAGGAAAAAAAAGATATGGCTGGAGAAAATGTCTGGGATCACTCTGAGATAAATGTTATGAGGTTTTCTATTTTACTGTCTTAGCAGGTTTTGTTAGTGTTACTTTATCTTTAAGTCATATGATTATATCAATTTAGCTTACTAAAATGGTAATAATAGATGCATAAATTCTAAATTCGTCAAACCATTTCTCCCAAGATTCAAAAGTGAGTCAAGAAGGCAATGACCTAAGACTACCTTTTTTTTTAAATAGGTTTCTTTTTGTTTTCCTGACATTTTTGTTTGAGATTTCACTAGAAGCAGTTCTCCCAGTTCTTGAAGAGCTCCAAATAACACATTTGTACTTCACAACATACCTGGATTATAGGGAAATGTGTTTCATGCTTGTCATACTCTTTGTCACCGTGTGCAGAGTCCCTGTCAGAATGGGAAAATACATCCTCACATCTGGATCCTCTGCTGTGAGCACAGGCTGTGCTTGATGGGAAGGAGAGGGTGGAAAGTTTGCCTGGAACTCCCTTTGGTGAGACCCTGCCTGATTGTATTGCTCAGTCATGGCCAGGTTGGAGACACATTTATGACCTCCAGACTGCATCTTGTTTTTTTAAATACTCAGGCAGTTCATATTTTATAGCTTTTCTTTTTCATTAACTTTCTTTCTGGAAACCCTTCCAGCTGTAAAAATGAACCAAATTCGGATTCCAGTCCTATTCTTTAGGTTCCCAGGATACCATCTTTACTAAAATCCAGGAAATGCACTCTGGAAAGGTTTGCCCTGATTCTTAGGGGCAAAGATCTCTTATGTAGACTGATTGTCAACTGCTTAGTAAGGACCTCTTTCTTCTACCACCTCCAGAATATTATTTGCTGTTTGCCCTTGGAGATGCTGCACCACTTGACTGTAATTCAAGTGTTGTACACAGGCTGGTTTCTCCTTCCAATACACACTTGCTAATTGTTCTATTCTTGGTATAGAAACAGGAAGGAAGCCTTTTAGTGTGACCCAACCTGATTTAAATATAAAAATAAAAGTATTTCACTAGTCACTGTCTAGAATTATTTCAGTTTTCTTCGCCCTGATGACGGTGACCAAAATCTTTGTCAAGACTTGCTTTTCTTTTCCCTTCTGATTAAAGCTGTATTTAAAACCCATGTTTAACACACCAGCATGTTCTGTATTTATAGCTATTAACTATGGCATCATTCCAAGTTCTATTTTAAGACAGCTTTTGTTCAGTGTTTGTGTGATGCTCCAATTTCTGTATCCTCCCAGTGCAATGGGGGCTTCTGTTCCTCTGCTATATCGCAAGTTTTATTTTAAGCTCCTTGTTAAAGCTCAGCAGATGTATATTTATCATCTGGGTGATTATCTGACATTGTTGAATAATTGCATCTTTTAATGTTTAGAAGTAAAGCTGCTCATCAGGCTTTTTGGTATTACCCTCCCTCTTGTTGGTCCTTTAAGAAACAATGCCTTGCTTCTCCAATTGTTTCTAGTACTTTGGTATTTGGGTTCTTTTATTTTTCATCTCAGGTTTCCCAGGAGATAAAGATGGCATATTTTTATCTAAAATATATTCCAGAAACTTGCTGATGAGGTTGTGGTATGTATGTTTGTGCCTTCACACAGGGACTATTTTTGAGCTAGAGGTTTCCA